TTCACTTGGTGCAGCCACGGCCGCCAGAGGAGTAGATTGAAGGTGACTGGAACATCCAAGACATAGAACTCGATGGCTTGCTGCCCTGGGCCAACCTGAGTTTTGATCTGTACCGTCCCCATCACCTCCCGACTGGTGTTATCATATGCTCGAATCACTTGGGCCGTAGGTATGAAATCTGCTGGTTTTAACCCGATAACATATGCCGTTCGCGACGGACATACATTGATTGCAGATCCAGTGTCGACCAGGACCATCGATATCCATTTCTCTCTACGCTCCGCAGAGATATAAAGCGGCTTGTTATGATTTGAGCCCTCAGGCGATAGTTCTTTGTCTGTGAAGGTTAGGGTCGGTACAGTTCCACCAGGGAAAATCAACCCCACAAACTGCTCGAGTGTGGTATCAATTGAAAGCTTAGCCCTATCCATGGCTGTAAGGACGGCTTGTCTATGCACCCTCGAGGCCATAAGAAGTCCCCAGATGGAGATGTCTTCTTGAATTTTCTTTAACTGTTTTAGCACAGCTTCCTCCTCTAGCAGTTTTTCTTTCTGCCTCTCTGCTTCTTTGTCCTTCCCGGACACCTTCGGCTGGTCCAAATGTGGGGGCTTGAAGTACCACCCACTTCGGGTCATATGGTCCACTTCTTCGGTGTACCAGGTGTTGTCTATTTGGTTCTACCCCCAGTCCTCGTTAGTGTGGGCAAGACGTAAGTCATCGTTTTCCCACTACATCCCACCAACAACTGACAGACAGCTGTCCGGTTCTGCTGTAGCTGTTTCTGTGCTCACAATACATTCTGCGCCCTCAGGTGCCTTGGCTTTTCTAGCCCTGTTGTCATTCTTGAGTTTCTCTTGTTCAAGTCGCTTCAATGCAGCCTCATGTTCAGTGTTTACTGTACACAATCTGTCCAAGTCCCGAGCAAAATTCTTCGCACTAGTGCTCTCTGGCGATTCTTCCTAATTCTTGGCCGTCGCGGCCACTGTTGATGTTCCCGTCTCTAGCGGTCCGTGTTCTGATTGAGGCTCCTCAACAACATCTGGCTCATCAATGAGTCACCCGGTGGTATCTGCTGATCTATTCAGAGTGAACCAGTTGATGCTCACATTTCTCGGATCCTGCTCGTTAAAGAACTGCAGATTGGCAATGTCCTCCTCCAGCTCCACTAGGTCATCTAGCCCATGACTGGGTCCATTCTCCTAGACCACATTGATCTTTGCCCCAGTTGGCAATTGTACCCTCGGCTTAGCCTGATCTGTTGACACAATATAACCACACGGGCTATATGCTTCCTCAGTAAAGCTCCCAGATCCCTCAGGTTTTGAATCAATATCCCTATTCTCCTTCAAGATAACCTCGACTTTGTCTTCGACAGTCACCACCACTAGCTTGGGTTGGGTTAGGGAGGTGCTCATCATGCACAAGTCTGTGCTTTCTGAGATGAACACCTCAGGCTTGGGTAGGTGGGAGGGAGTGATGTATATGCTAGGGTCGTACTGGACAGCCATGGTTTGAATCAGGTTTATCTGCCTAGGTGGAAAGAGGTTGTTATTATGTGGTGGGAGAGGGTTGGTAGTGATGTTTGGTTTGTCAGGAGGTGCAATCACCTTGTTGTCAATAAGATCCTGGATCTCATGACGTAGTTTGTAGTAGAAGTCGGTGTCATGACCGTGCTGTTGGTGAAAGGCGCAATATTTGGCTGGGTTATGGGAAGAAGGAAGTTTGTCTGGTAATGGCCGCGGCTCCAGGGGCTTCAAATGCCCTTTCTTGATCAAGACTCCTGAGGCTTTAGACAAAGTAATAAATAGCGGGGTGAAGACTCTCTGGCCCCGGGCTTGGTTTTTGGCAGGTTGTGAGCTGGGTGCAGAGGTTCCTGTAAACGACGTGGCTATTTTTGGTGTGGTGGTGACCATGCTGACGTCAAAAGTTCTTGTGACTGCACTACTACTGGTAGCTGCATTCAAACCGCAGGTAAACGCCCTCTTGGGCTGCTCTCTCTTGTGGTCAATCAGACCTTGCTTTATAGCATCTTCGATCTGTACCCAATCTCGTGCAAATCAGCAAAGGTGGAAAGGGGTAAGACGATCATTTTCTGCATCAGCTTGGGTTGAAAGTTGCGCACAACCATTCTTATCTGATCTTTCTCAAGCGGCCGAGTTGTCATCATGAAGGCCTTGGCCTCCATCGAGTGACAAAGTCAGAAAAGCTCTTTTTCGGCTTTTGCCTGGTTGTTTCAAGATCACGGGTCGTGACCTTGATCTGGGTGTTGTATGAATATTGGGCGACAAAGGCCTCAGCCATCTCCTCCCAACTTCTTTTCATTGAGTCCTCCAGCTCGGCGTACCAGATGGCCGCAATACCCGACAGGGTCCGACTGAAAAGTGATAGTTTCTGGAGTCTCGTCAAGCCCATCGGGCGCAGAATATCAGAAAATAGCCTCAAATGAACCATAGGATCGCCCGGGCAGTCAAAGCGATCTATGTGAGGCATCTTGAACTTGTCCGGCAACGTCACCACCGAATCAGTGTACCCATCTTCTATGTTCGGGATCAAGTTAACTCCCTGGGCTCGCTTAAACAGCTTTTTGAGCTTACTCATTTTTAGAGCAGTTGGGTCAACCTCAAATTCGAATGGCGTGTCCACTGGATTAGCTGATGCTTTAGACATCTGAGGTGGAATTGGCGATGGAAATGGCCCTGTTGGAAGAACATGGACACATGTTGGCCTATAAGCAAGGCATAATACACAACCCTCAAAAGCTATGAAGAAGTGAAATATATGAAAGTGTGACTACACTATATGCAGTGAAATTACATGCTAAATGGTGCCATACCATGCAAACGTCACATGCATAACATGTTGGAGGCCTCAAAACTCAAAACTTGTTAAGGCCCCTTACACTACAACCATACTAAGCAATGCTCAAATGACCTTGACCATTCAAAACAGACCTAAGGCAGGTCGAAACAATAGCAAAAACATGCTAGACTTGTAGCATAGATGGCAAGAAAGATATGCTCATGTATTGACTCACAAATAAGGCATGAGGCTCAACTTCTCAAAAGCATTGAAAGAGTGATACATATGAGAGTATGACAGTGATTAATGATCTGAAATCACATATTAAATGATGTCAAATCATGCAAACAACTCAAGCAAAACATATTAGAGGACTCAAACACAAAACTATTAAAGCCTATCATGCTATAGCCATACAAAGCATGCCTCATATGACCTAAACCACTCAAAACATAGTTAAAGCATGCTAAAACATGAGTAAAAGTATGCTGGAGTATAGCCAAAATAAGCTAGAATGATGGGCTAAAGTAGTAAGCATGCAAAGCTAGTAAGCAAGATTACACTACAAGTGTAAAGAGCAAGCAACCAATGATCAAACAAGCTAAAAATGGAGTTATGGCAGGTCTAAAAAGTCACAAAAATATGCTTGAACAAAGCCACAAAGAATTAAAAACACATGCTCATTTGGTAGGCCATCAACACATGCAAATAAGACAAGAGGATAGGGGACCACCCTCTTCTATTTGGGACCTCAAAACCACATTTCCACCACTGAAATTCCTCTGGAATTCAGAGGTTAAAAGGCCAAAAGAGATGGTTTAAATAGCCTTAAAAAGTGGTACAAAAACTTAGCAAATAAGCAACCAAAGAGGGTAGACCACCCCTAACCCCAACAAGGATTCAAACCAACATTTTTAACACTTAAAAATAGAGTTTTTTGTAGTTAACAACCAAGCCTAAAATAGCATGCAAAGGTGGCTAATATGGTATGGAAAAATAAGCTCAAAAAAGGGAATATGCTCACCCTTGAAGCACAGTAGCAAGAGGACAACTTCTGAGCCAAAAATCAGCTTTAGGAGGCCTAAACAAGTTTTAAGGAATCTCAGTTCCAAGGTCAAGAGGTTTGGCTAAGAGGGTTGTCTGCAAATATGTCAAGAACACACACTTTCAAGCACTATAGAGTATAATATATATATATATATATAGAGAGAGAGAGAGAGAGAGAGAGAAAGGGAGAGAGAGAGAGAGAATTTTAGAGAGTCAAAATTTACTTCCAAAATTTCTGAACCTCAAATAAGGGGGAGGGACCTCCCCTTATATAGGCAATGCAAGCAAAAGCTTGCTTGACAAGCTTAAAGCTTGTTTCCATTCCTCCATAGCTTAAAGCTTAAAGCTTGCTTGACACGTGTATGGAGGATAGCTTTAATGCCCAACAACTGGCTCAAAAGATTTGAAAATATCAAAAAAAGGAGAAAATTGGCTGCCAGCTAGTTCAAGTGGCTGACCGCCCACTTCAACTAGCTGACCGGTCACTCCAACTAGCTGGTAAGGAGAAAAAGTGGCTGGCAAATGCCAAAAGTGGCTGACAGGGCCCCACTCTCCTTTAGCCAAGAGGCACTAAGGTTTGGCCTAAAAACAAGGCCAAAACACAGAGGGTTTAGAGGCTCAAAGACAAGGCGTTCAGCCGAGACCTTCGGGCACTCAAAACTAGCAAAACATGCGCAATCAACGTGTGCACAGACGATAACGTCTGAGTCTTAAAGTCGGTCAAAAATGGAGTGTCTACACCTCCCGAATTCCCTCTAAAATAAATATTGTTATTTCACTAAATGAAAGCTTAATGTAGAGTATGGCCTCATTTGGGAACAGGCTAATTTAGTAACTTTTTGGCTATTTGGCTAAAAAGGTAGGTAAAAAAAACTTGTATGTTTGGGATGACTTTTTGGCTAATTACGAAAAGATGTGCAAAAAGTAGAGAGAAAAGAGAATCTTTGACTTTTTGGTATGAGTTATTGACTTTTTGACTAATTTAGTAACTTTTTGGCTAATTGACTAAAAAAGTAAGTCCCCAAACGGGGGCCTATATCATTATTTTAATATGTATAAAAAAATGGAAATGTGAAATTTCTCGTAACTTCACCTCTCCTTCGTCCCTTTTTCCTTCTTTTTTACAAACCCTTGCAGATTATTGACTCGAAGTTGGTCTCAAAAATCGCACTACAGTCACTACACAGCAGTTGCCCCAAATTCACTCAGTTCAACACCTTCCCCTCTACATTCTTCTCTCTTTCACAGAACCTTCCTCCCCTTGTTCTCTTCCTCCTCTCTTATTTATTTATTCCCATATCTCCCCAAAGTGGACAGAACTCAAGCAAACCAAACACAATACAACACTAGTGAAACCCCATGTCTGTTTTTCCACAAAACATGAGCATGCCTTCAATATCAATATCATCAGTTTTGTTCACTGCCTTAGCAGTGATGGTTGGGACTCTGCTCAACGAAGCCCTGGCCATCACCAAAAAGCTTATACCACAACAGCTCCTCTTATCCAAACTAGAAAGCCTCATAGGAAAATATTATTCCCAGATGACTCTCATCATTGATGAGCACATTAATGGGGTCTCCATCAATGAAATGTTCCAGGCATCAGAAATTTATTTGTGCGCGAAAATCAGCCCTTCGGTTGAACGGCTTAAGGTATCCAAGGCATTGGGAGAAGAGGCTCTCCGTGTCACAGTGGACCAAGGGGAAAGGATTGTGGATACTTACATTGGTATCCAACTCACTTGGCAAATGATATGCGCTGAGAAAACAAAGACCAGCACCGACAATGAAATTGTCGAGTACAGATCAATTGAGCTCAGCTTCTACAAGAAATACACTGAAATGGTACTGAGCACTTACTTGCCATATGTCTTGGAGAGGTCCAAAGCCATGAAAGAAGAAAACAAGATAGGAAAGCTCTACTCATGTAAGGGATCACGGAGTTCAGTCAATCTGAACCATCCATCCACTTTTCACACGTTGGTCACGGATCCATCCATGAAGAAGAAGCTGATGGATGACTTGAACGGGTTTTTGAAGAGAGGAGAGTTCTACTGGAAAGTTGGCAAGGCACGGAAACGTGGGTACTTCTTATACGATACCCTAGGCACCAGCAAGTCCAGATTGATTGCTACCATAGCTAACTATTGTTGGACAATCTTCACCGTATTTAAAAGGATTTGGTAATGGTTTTGAGCAACCAAATATACCACGTGAATCACAACGCGGCATAGAACGCGTTACTACTTTTACCCGAGTAAATCGACACTCGGGGCCCACCTAAAAAATAGACCGAACTTAGGAAAAAATTAACCATTTCCAACAACTATTTCCATCATTTCATTAGTTGTAATTTTCCTTTTCAGCATGTCTTTAAGTTTGTTTTTAATCGCTTTACCATTTCGAGCATTTCATTATTTGTAATTTTGCTTTGGAGGAGTAGGAGTAGCTTAAAGTAATGTACTTTTCACTAGTATTTGAATTATTCATTTGATCAGTCATTCTCTCTTTCCTCTCTCTTTTCTCTTCTTTACTATTTCTCCTTGCAAATTGGTTCTTGCTTAACAATTAAAGTTTTAATTTCTCTCCGTCGAAACAAAAAGAATCTTAACACAGTAAGTAGTATCTACATTGTAGTATCTTGTACAAAACATACACACCGCAAATAAACAGGGAAGATTCTTTTTTTTTTTGTGGTAAAAACAGGGAAGATTCAGCTCAATGCAATATTGTTGAGAAGCAAAAAGCTAAACATATTTGCCAGAATATCAAGGTATACCTGAATTTAAAATAATATTCATAAGAAATAATCAAATCCAAATCCTTCTCATTAACTTGCAGCAGATGCAAAAATAAAAATGATTATGTTATTTAAGCTATGGTAATGTTTAGATTGTTTTCCTATGCTCACCATTGATGTCCATGGAGAAGAGACACTCTTGCATATTGATGGGAGAATTTGAAAGAAATTGCATTTGATGTACTAAAATTTCCTCTAGCATCCAGCCAGTTTTAACTTTAAGTTGAATTTTCTCAGCTTTTAATTTTATTTTATTTTATTTTTAATTATTTAGACTACGCAAATTTAAAAATTAAAAATTAATTAGAAAAAAGACCACCAAATGCGAAATTTTGTAGAGAAAAAAAAATCTTTAGGCTTCGTTTGGGGAGTGGGTTGACTTTTTGATTTTTTTAGTTTTTTTGACTATGTTAGCCTGGGGTTAAAAGGCCTAATTTGGAAAGGGTTTTGGACTTTTTTTTGATTTTTTTATGAGAAAAAAGATGTAATGATTATGCGTTAGATGTGATATTTTATGTTATTAGATTAAAAAAATTATTTTGTTTTTGTACCTATTTTAGTCAAAAAAAATTCTCAAACCCAACTTCCACTAGTTAACTTTTTCGTTTTTTATTTTTTTAGACTCATCTAGTTTAAACAGACTTAAAAATTAACCAAAAATTGATTCAAAATTTAAAAATATCATTAAATATGAAAAAATCCACACACACAAAAAAAAAAAAACAACTCCCACATAAATATTTTACAGAGAGAGAGAGAGAGAGAGGAGCTCAAGGACATTGACAGAACAAAACAAATGAAAGCGCCTAAATTCGCATCCGATGGTATCGGACAAGCGTGGCAGACCCTACCACCAAGAAGTAATCCGATTTTGTTCAACAACACATATATTTTGATGTGGACTGGACGATGTTGTTTCCCGCCATGGATTTTTTTCGATAATTTGAACTGTTTAATGTGTAAAGCTCGTTGAGTATTTTATTCTTGTAAAAAATCACATTAATCGGATATCAATAGCTACTTGATCGGATCAAATTTTTGTCAACAATTTATTTTGAAAATCACATTTACCATTGACAGAAATCTAATCCAATCAAGTAGCTATCGATATCTGTTTAACATGATTTTTTACAAAAATAAACAAATTGACGAGTTTTACATACATTGACGGTTTGAATTATCAAAATGAAACACGTGATAGATCTCTACAAATTCAAAAACACATTTTAATCTGATCACAAATGGAATAGAAGTCAGACCGTTTTTGATTGATGTAAAGTAGTGTGGTCTAATCTACAGTCTTAGGAATCAGTTGCGTAAATGGCATTGGTTGACTGCAAGACAGTTCGACCAACAGACCGGGTCTAGATTTAGACATGAAACAAAATACAATCTGTACATATAATTATTAAATTAGATATATAATATTGTTGTTGAGGTCAAGAAACTGAGATTATAAATCACAAAGAAGGTTTCGAGAGATTAGAGCTTCTCCATTCTTTATTATTATTTTTTTTTCATCAAATTCAAATTTGATGAAAGTAAATTTGACTAAAAATGGCTAAAATGTGCTCTAACTGTTTCATTAACAATAATATTAGAATGATTATCTTTTTATCTTATATTTTATTTACTCAAATTTAATGAAATTTAAAAATTAAAAAAAAAGAAAAAAGAAGTAAGGATTGGGGATAGTTTTCTTTTTTCAAGTTAAAATAATTTTGAAAACTTTCAAAAACACTTGGAATGCAAAAAATACAAACAAAAAATACAAACAAAACTACTAAGGCTTGGTTTGGAAAGTAGGTTGGCTTTTTGGCTTTTTGACTTTTTTGGCTATTTTAACCTGGGCTAAAAAGCTTGGTTTGGGAAGAGTTTTTTGACTTTTTGGCTTTTTTGACTTTTTTTGTGAGAGAAGAATGTAATGATTATAGGTTGGATGTGATGCTTTGTTTGTTATGGTTAAAATAGCTTATTTTGTTTTTTGTGGCTAAAATAGTCAAAAAAATCTGAAAATTAACTTGCCAAACAGAGGCTAAGGGAAGGGCGGGGCATGCCCCCCTCACAAAATATATATATATATATATATTTCATTAAAAAAAAAAAAAAGAATTTTTAATGTGGTCTCCTTTGCAAAGACTTGCACAACGCATCATGTGGTCCCATTTTCACCAATCAATAATGCTTGCACATCGTCTTATATATTATTTCATTTTACCAAAAGTAAATGCTTTGAAAAACATATATAACCAAAGAGTAATCATAATTTCATTGATTTAATAAGTTAGACCGCTGTTCTCTGCTATCAATGTAACAGTAACACAATATATATAAAAATATGGTAAAATAATAAAATCATTATAGTATATTATTTTAACAACATAGTTATAAAAAAAAAAAATAATAATAAATAAATAGTTTTACTCCGCTAGTTAACTTTTTCGTTTTTTATTTTTTTAGACACATCTAGTTTAAACAGACTTAAAAATTAACCAAAAATTGATTCAAAATTTAAAAATATCATTAAGGCCTCGTTTGGGAACATACTAATTTTGTAATTTTTTGGCTATTTGGCTAAAATATGAGCTAAAAAAAATTAGTATGTTTGGGATGACTTTTTAACTTTTTATGAAAAATGTGCAAAAAGTAGAGAGAAAAGAGAATTTTTGATTTTTTGGTATGTATTGTTGACTTTTTGACTAATTTAGTAACTTTTTAACTTTTTAACTGAAAGTGAAAGTTTCCAAACGAGGCCTAAAGATGAAAAAAGCCACAAAAAAAAAAAAAAAAAAAAACAACTCCCACATAAATATTTTACAGAGAGAGAGAGGAGCTCAAGGACATTGACAGAACAAAACAAATGAGAGCACCTAAATTCCCATCCGATGGTATCGGACAAGCGTGGCAGACCCTACCACCAAGAAGTAATCCGATTTTGTTCAACAACACATATATTTTGATGCGGACTGGAAGATGCTGTTTCCCGCCATAGATTTTTGGGGAACTTAGGGTTGGTTTGGGATGTTCTAAAAAGTGTACTTTTTGACTTATTGGCTTATATGGGTTGAGTTTGGGTTGGGTTTGATGTGATGTGTTAGAGAGATGATGTGATTTAAATAAGATGATGTGACTTAAATAGGATAATGACTTTTTGACTTTTTGTATTATTTAGTAGATGCCAAACTTGGCCTTAGTGATAAGTCCCATATAACAAGTTCAAAACCCAACTAATCCCAAAACAAAATACTTACACCAATTAGTCCAACACATTTTTAATTGTTACAAAAAAATCTTTTTTTTTTTTTAATTTATAGACACTGTTCACATCTTACTACCGTCGGACTTCCGTTTAACGGTCGCCGGAGACTCACCGGAATGTCTAGAATATTGCCGGAAAAAAAAAATTTAAAAAACATGTTATGAAACTGTAAAATTTTACAGTTCTAAAGAATGTTATAAAACTGCAAAATTTTACAGTTTTAAACCATGATTCATTCCAGCACCAAAAAAAAAATTTGAAACTGCAAAATTTTACAGTTTTCACCGCCTGTAACTAAAACTCGAAAACTGCTTGTTCAGAATTCGAAAATTTTCTCCATTAGAACAGAAAAACAGAAGTGTATAGCAGAGAGAGAAAAAAAAAGAGATCGAAGGGGAAAGACGGATGTCTAACCAAATCTGTGTAGATCTACTCAGATCTGATGTAGATCTGAGTAGATCTATATCAGATCTAAGTAGATCCATTCATCTTCTTCGTCGGAAAATATATCATCTTCTTCTTCGGAGTTGATTTCAATGCTTGGTGGTTATCAATGAACCCCGATCAATGGAGAAAGATATGATCACCGGTGGTCCTCTTCCATGACAAACACGGTGACAGAAAAATGTAGAAAAAAAAAACGAGAGAGGAAGGGAAGCAAAAAGCAGAGAGAGAGGGGAAAGGACTTTTGGATGTAGTGAAAAAGTTATGGGATTAAATGGAGATCACATGTTTCCCATGGGACCTATGGGTAATTTCCCCTAGATTTTTTTTGATAATCTGAACTGTTCAATGTGTAAAACTCGTTGAGTACTTTATTCTTGTAAGAAATCACATTAATCGGATATCAATAACTACTTGATCGGATCAAATTTTTATTAACAATTTATTTTGAAAATCACATTTACCATTGACAGAAATCTAATCCGATCAAGTAGCTATCGATATCTGTTTAACATGATTTTTTACAAAGATAAACAAATTGACGAGTTTTACATACATTGACAATTTGAATTATCGAAATAAAACCCGTGATAGATCACTACAAATTCAAAAACACATTTTAATCTGATCACAAATGGAATAGAAGTCAGACCGTTTTTGATTGATGTAAAGTAGTGTGGTCTAATCTACAGTCTTAGGAATCAATTGCGTAAATGGCACTGGTTGACTGCCAAGACAGTTCAACCAACAGACCGGGTCTAGATTTAGACATGAAACAAAATACAATCCGCACATATAATTATTAAATTAGATATATAATATTGTTGTTGAGGTCAAGAAACTGAGATTATAAATCACAAATAAGGTTTTGAGAGATTAGAGCTTCTCCAATCTTCATCATTTTTTTTTTTGCCCCATCAAATTCAAATTTGATGAAAGCAAATTTGACTAAAAATGGCTAAAATGTGCTCCAACTGTTTCATTAACAATAATATTAGAATGATT